CAAAAAGATTCCATGCTTGGCTAATTCATCAGGTCTCTATGATAGAATAAATATTTCCATATAATATAATAGAGTAAAAATTGCCCATTAAACAGTAAAAATGTTTTTATTAAGGCCTTCCAGGGGCCGGGGAGATGGCTCAGTGGAATAAGCCCTTCCCTGGCAAGCGCAAGGGCCTGAGTTCAATCCCCGGTTCCACAAAAAAATAAATAAATAAAGTCAGAATACTACAAGGCCTTCCATCACAGCCAATTCATGGGTCAAAGGATTTACGATAGGGCACAGTGTTTTATTTATTTATCTAGGGTTTTTTGAGAAAGGGTTTCACTAGGTAGTTCAGGCTGGTCTTGAACTCAAGGCAATCCTCCTGCCTCGACCTCCCAAGTGCTGGGATTACAGGCATTCACCACCACACACAGCCCTCCAGTCTTTTACTATCCAGGCCACAGATTTAAATATGAAAAAGGGAAGGAGATTGGAGAGAAGATGGAAGCAACAGTTTTTATAAACTCTTATATTATTCCCATGTTAAAATGCTTGTAGCCTGCCACATGAATATGAAGAAACTCTAAGGGCCAGGGAGATAGCTTGGTGGCATAAGCACCTGCCTCACAAGTGCAAGGTGCTGAGTTCAATTCCTGGTACTGTAAAAAATAAATAAATAAAAATTGTTTAAAACAATGAAGAAACTTAAAAAATCCCAGAAGCCTGGTGTGGTTCCTTCTCTAACAAAGGAACAGGATAAGGAAATCAGGTATGGCGGTACATGCCTGTAGTCCCACCTACTTGGGGGTCTGAGGCAGAAAAAACACTTTAGCTCAGGAAATCAAAGTAAGCCTGGGAGGGCCCAGGGAGATAGCTCAGTAGAATAAGCGCTTGCCTGGCAAGCACAGAGTCCTGAGTTCAATCCCCAGTACCACAGAAAAAACAAAACAAAACAAAGTAAGCCTGGGCAACATCACACAAACCTGTAACAAAGCAAAACAAAACAAAACAAGGCAAAGCAAAGCAAAATACAACACAAGAAAGAGCTACTTCTCTAGAGAGTTTGAGGCTGAATATCAGAACGCAGTGGGGGTGTAGGAGATACTATACAGGATGAAGACACATGATGGTCTTAAGAAGAAGGGAACTAAGCACACAGCATCTACTGTTTTGTCACTTAAGATCAGTCCTTTACCAAGAGATACACTGCCTTGCAGGGAAATTATAAGCAAGAGGCAGCTGGCAGTCCCCAGTCACACTATAGATACCTGAGGCATTCATTACTGGAGAAACACATGGTCCTAGAAGGCTTTGAACCCTATTATGGAGCTGCCTAATCACCATATCACTACACTGTTCTAGAAAAATACTACAACCCATATTATTTCTTTCTCCATCCAGTATGAAGACTATCTTAAAACCTACCACTTCCTGGATCATGGGAAGCAGCCAAATAACTGCCCTTAGCAGCTCCACTATCCTGCTCTGCAGACCAGCCAGGAAGTCCTACCTTTCCTTCCATGGCCCCAGGCAGCACCTTGTAGCCCACCCTAACAGATTCATCCACAAGGAACTCAAGAAAACAGTTAAGTGGTACTGTCTACCCTCCTTCTGCACTGGAAAGATCCAGGTGGTCCTGCCCATCCATTCCTGGCTCCAGCCACATGGCCCTTGACATTCTCCCACTACCCTGAAAGCAGCTGGGTGGTTCCACTCATGCATCTCCACCTCACAGCAGGTAGCCAGGAAGCCTACGCTGAGCAGCTTGGTCAACACAGGCTCAGGAAAGCAGAACAGTGGTCCCACCTGCCCATAATCCCAGGAGGCAGCTAAGCACACCATCCTAAGTGGCTTGGACCAAGCAAGGGTCCTGGGAAGCAACTGGGTAGCCTCATATACCCTTTTGAAACTGCCAGAAGCAGACGGACAGCCCATTATCTGAGCTCAGCCTGGTGGGGCTCTGAGAAATTATTTTCAGCTGCCCACCAATCCTGTGCCCTGGGAAGCAGCTATGCAGAACTTTCTGAGAAGGATGGCCACCATATGCTTCACGAAGTCATATATGCAGTCCTTGGACAATGATACTCTCCTTGGCATCAAATATATATATATATATATATATATATATATATATATATATATATATTACTAATTTTGATTATGTTTTATATGTGGTTTATTTTTTCCCATAATTTTATTGATAAACAAATATCAATGAGACAGTTTCAAATCAAATTGGTAGGACAGTTTCAATAATTCACACATTGCATACATTCTTCCTAGTGGTTAATTGCTGTACAAGATGCGGACATGATATCCTAACACCATTAGAACAAATCACTCTATTCATTAAGAGAATGTAACTATATATCTATCCTAACCACTTTGAATACACAGATTCAAAATGGACATTCATCTGTATCCCCTTTTTTGGTTAAGTCCCATTATTTGAATATTATAGGTGTGTAAACTCAGTAAAATATTCTAAAAGAGTCCAGTAGCCCATAATAGTATTGGGTCTTCCTCTTGACTGGCAATGTCAGAAATTGTTGACCTGAGTCCCCTACAGCTCAGCATATCAATATGGCTTTACTAAAAAGTAAAGTATGTTGTTTTTATACTTTTCTGCTGGATGGTTAAGACCAGGGTAAAGCAGGACCTATGCAACAAGAGTTGTAGCTTTTGGGTCTGATAAGGTCAGTGAAATCCTGTACCTCAGATTGTAGAACCTTTGTCAGTGTCAGCCATGTGGATGAGTCACGGCTATTGCCTGGCCAATGTGCTCTCTGTGAAAACTTGAGAGAATGTGGTTTATAACATATCTGTGAAATCAGGTGAGTCCTGTGCAGGCAGTGGAGATGAACAGGGGAACTCTTGACAACTACAAGAACAGAGCAGTACACAACCTGTTTTGGCTTATATCTAGATGTTTCCTCAAAGCCTCATGCAGTCATAGGTGGGAAATTTCAGAGGTGGCTGTATCTACAACGTGTGATGTTGGGATTAAGGATGTGATGCTGATACTGATTTGTGGTGTGATGCTAGGATAAAGGGTGCCCTCGCCCAGGATGAGCACTACTTACCTTAAAGGCAAGTAGACTGATAGAATATAAAGGACAAAAAATGGTTTCTGTTGTCATTTTCTGCTTCTCTACTTTGCTGCTTTTCTGCCTCCTGCTCAACATGAACTGCTTCTGCTCTGTGATGCCACTCTGCCATGCCAACCTGCCTTGGAGCCAGCCAACTATGAAAACTATGAACTGAAACCTCTAAAAACTATGAGCTACAATAAACCTTTCCTCCTTTAACTTTGGGTGTTGGGTACTTTGTCTCAGCAACAAAAAAAGTAACTAAGACTATATATATATCCTCTCTCAAATCTGCAGAAATGTTTATAAAAGTTGACAATAAGTGGTTCTTAATATGAAAAATGTGAAAATCCACAATATATGTTAACAGATATGCATGCACTGGTCGAGTGTTTGAGAAATTCAAAACATGGGGGGCCTGGCCCTAGCTCAGTCCTTTAAGTGGCTGCTTCCACAAAGCTGGCAGCCTCAGGTTGCTGGAGTTCGAACCTCACAACTCTCCCGCTGGCCAAAAGTGCCCTGAAGGCATTCGAGGAACAAAAAAAAAAAAAACCCTTATTCCATGGGGCTGGTGAGATGGCTCAGTGGTCTAAAGCACCTACCTAGAACAAGCTTAGCAAAGCACAGGGACCGCGGTTCGATCCCCCAGCACCACATGCCAGCCAACCCCGCCCCCTGGTGGGCTGAGCTGGCCACACACACACACACACACACACACACAAATAAATAAAATTTAAAAAAAAAAAAACATGGACAAAGAGGAACCTAGTGCAAATATTCTTGAACAGACAGATGATGTTTCAACATATCCTTTGGAAATGTGAAATATGGTACTGTCTATATGATCAATGGCCTAAATCTTGGGAAGTATAAGGGTCATATTTTTCTCATTGTCTGTACTGCTAAGAATATAACTAGTGTTGAATTATCCTATAACCTATTTTTCAGGTAATGGCTCATGCAGTTGACCCTAGCTTAACATGACTAAATGGTTTATAAGTGTTATAGCCAGAATCTCTGTTCAATGCGATGAATTCATTATTGTAGATGTGGGCTTCAGCAATTCAGCTTCCATTACTTTCAGCAACTGTAATGACTATTTGTTTAAGGAAGCTAAGCTCCAGTGCTCCTTTGGAAAGCCATTTTGAGAGAATAAGACAGTGAATAAAGTAGCAGAATATGACTGGCAGCTTCACTGTCAGAACAATCACTGTTGCTAGGTGCAGTGGTACACACTTATAATTCCAGTACTCAGGAGGCTGAGGTAGGAGGACTGCTGTGAGTCTGAAGCCAGCCTGGGCTACAAAGTGAGTTAAAGGCCAGCCTGAGCTGAATACTGACACTCTGTCTCAAAAAGACAAAAAAAAAGGGGGGGGGGCAGGGAGAAAAGAAAAGAATGATCATCATTGTCTGTTTTCATGCTGACTAAAAATGGGTTCAGATTATACATTTGGATTACGATACAAAAAATACAAACTTCTAAAGTAATCATATTTTTCTACTTCAAGGTACATGAGTATGACCATTTGGAGTTGTAATGGCCTCTCCACATGGTACCAGGGTGATGCACAGGTAAAGTGGTACCCCTTACAAAGAACAAGGTCATGTTACCAGCACCAGGGCAGAAGTCTAAATTAATGCTGTAAAATATTTGGAAAGAACATAATGTTTGCCTAGAAACATTGTTATTATTGCTAATGAGACAAGTTTGGAAACGATGGCAGTTAGTCTAAAAGAATGTGCAAGGTCTTGCAAGTGAAAAGGCAAAGATGTAAAATATGAAAACTGCTATGCAAAAGCACCCAAGGCTCCCATAGATTGAAAAGTGTTAAAAACTTACTCAATTCTCCAAGAAAGACATGAGATACAGGATTACAGAGTTTTCTGAAGCCACAGACAGGGCTGAGAAGGGGGAGGTAAAAGATTGTTGTCTACGCGATCCACAGAAAATCTGTATCATCAACTTTACTTAGATACCACTGTACTTCACTATGACTGCAACTTGGAAAAGTGTCATGGGAGAGGTGTTTACAACAATTTCAAAAACTCCTTGTGTGTCTATGGCTGTCTCTCTCCTAGGGCTACTGAGAATAGTTTGAATAGTAACCCAGCTCTACATATTCACTGTGACCTTCAGTATGAAAAAAACTTACAATCTTAATTTGGGTCTTGTTGAAACTCTTGCTATTTCTTGCTTCTATTATCTTTTTTTTCTACCGACACTCACAGAATATCTAAGACCAGGATCATGAAAAATAAGTCATCAGAGCAGCAAGATAGTGCTGACAAATATTTACTAATTACCTTCTTTTTGAGAATAAAGGCAAATATAAAGTGATACTATTAGACATCTTACTTCTGATCCCCTTCAGGGACTATGGAAATGGGCATTCTATGCTGCTTCCTATTTTTCTATATGAATGCTTGTTAGTTTTTAAATTAAAAAATTAAAATAGCTCCCTGGGTGAGGGAATCTTTTTTGTTCCGTGATAGCCTGAAATCAGGTCTTCAGAGTCTGGGACAATTAGAAGCCTCAAGATGTGATCTTGGCAGAGTGGCCCTCCATAACTTCCTTGAAGCACATGCCAAAATTTCAAGAGCTATTACTGAATTACCTGATTTTCCCATAGGACTCCTTTGGAAAGATCTTTAGAATTTACTTTTCAGAGCATACTGCTTAATCTCCTACTATCATCTGATCAATTTCTCTAATCTTAAAGATTTTACCTTAGAATTTATCAAGAGGGAAGTATATGCTTATTAGTTCCAATGATTTGGTTGATTATCATTCTAGTCATATTGTCCATTTAGCTCTCCTCACTTCTTTACAACATGACACACAATGCTCAGATCTTAAATTGGCCTTGTTCATAACTAACTGGAGAAACCAAAGAAATTGTTATATGATTTGAGAGGGGAAAAAAAAACAGGTTAGATGAACATTCCTACCTCTTAATGATGCTCTGTGATCTAAAAGGTTTAAATTGTACCTAGTAATCATTTATCACTGCTTGCTCATTCATCCTATAAACGTGTTTAGCGCTTGCTATTAGGTTGAACCATGTGCCTGAGACAATTTTCACTTATAAGAATAGCCAGTTAACATAATGGGTCAACCTAATTTTACATGTCTAGGTACTATGAAACCAACCAGGAATTCTGCTTGTAAATGATAGTTGAGAATTATTTATTTCTAGAGGGGTTTTTAGCTTTGATTTCCCTTAAAATTTATTTTCCTTATAACTTCAAAAGATAGCTCTTAATTTTCTAGTATAGGATTGTGCTTCTGTTTAAGTTCTAAAACAGATCTAAACATATGAAACTGGGATAAGATGTGTTTAAGTGTCCCACTATCACTTTTTAAAATAAAAGTTTCCTAGCTTTTTCTGAGTTTCAAAACTCTTCAAAGGAAAGAAAACCAGGCCCCATATTCATGCAATAGCAATATCTGAGCAAGTTGGTGCATGTCCCCCTCCCTGCACTGCAACTATGAAATTGAGTCTGGAAAGAATGCATATAAATAATAACTTGGAATTTATTTGTTTCTAGAAGAGACTTAGACAAATCTAATATCCATCAAAGTAAATGAGTCTCTTAGATGGAAAGTGCTTTTATCTCTTGTGAAGAGAGTGTAACTTTAAAGATCCTTCCCAGTTCATCAAGAATAGCTACTAAGGATGGCACTATATTTCCTTTCAATTTTGAAGTTAATGCACATTTAGTAAAGATGTATTATAATGTTCCCCTTACAACAGTCTTCTGAATCTATTAGTGTGAAGTAACTCCAGTTCTGAATGTTCCAGTATTATACTTTCAAAGAATGGTGGAAGAGTTGGAAACAAAAGCAATGGTAGACTCCAATGGATCTAGGCCCCTGCTATAGATGCGCTTCTGTGAGCATAACAATGGTGTTTGTGTATCTGCATCTCGTCGAGCTTCTTGCTTTAGCTGGTGAAATCTGTGCTGTGTCCAGCCATATATTCCACAGTTGAGCAGACCCTGGGATGCTGCTGTTAGAGCCTGGAGGAGATGAAGGAATGATGGGGCCCATCCTTCAGGTTTGCAGAGATATAGGAATAATCCCCTTAGCCTCACCTGATTTATGAGTGGTTTTTTAAAAATTTTGTTTTGTTTTTTAGGTATGGTTTTGCTGTATAGTTTAGGCTGGCCTTGAACTCACCATATACTCTAGGCTGACCTGAACTCAAGGTTGTTCGCCTGTCTCTGCCTCCCAAGTGCTGGGATTATAGGTGTGTGCCACCATGCCTGGCCCCTTTAGCTCTTACCTATAAAGCACTTTTAATTTTTTTTCTTTTTTTTATACAGGGTCTTACTATGCAGTTCAGAGTCATAGTGATCCTCTTGTTTTCAGCCTCTCCAGTAGCTGAGATTACAGGTGTATGCCACCATGTCCAGACTCCATCAGGGGCTCAGTGCACCCTGGGGGCAGGGCCAGTAGGGCATGTGGTACTGGGGATCATACCTCAGTTCCTGCACTTGCCTAAGCAGGTGCTTAGTCCACTGAGCTATCTCGCTGGCCCTTATAAAGCACTTACACATTTCTCTATCTCAGACATGAAGATCAGGTATATATTTGTCTTAACACTTTATTTATTTATTTAATTTATTTATTTATTTATTTATTTATTGGTCTTGACACTTTCTAAACTCATGCTTTAACTGTACCTTGTCACGATGGCTAAGATAAGATTTGGTCATATTCATTAATATATACATCATTGACCCATTTGTTTCAAAGAAAACTGCCCTATCAGTTACATAGTCTCAAAATCCAAAATTGCCCTGTACTTAGTCCCAAAAGTTGTCTTCAGTCTTAGAAAGGTGAAAAGGGAGAACCATTCCATTATCTTCCCTTCACTAATAATAGGTAATTTATCCTACTTAATGTACTACTAGTGTTTCCTAAGAATATGCCCTGGTGGGTTTTTTTTTCCTCTCCCCAAAAAACACCAAATAAAACAAAGTTGACCAGTGTTATATAGGCTCTGGAGTGCATTGTAGCACTTTTACTAAAGCATCTACCTTGCCTCTGAGAAATGTTTACATTCTTTGTAACTAAGCATTTCATAACTGAGAGAAAAATAACTGAACAGAGAATAAATATGCTTCCTTTTACACTGTAGAAATAAATATCCCTAAGGGATAAAATTGTATTCAGTGAGTATTAGCAGTCTAACTGAATAGAATAAGAGGGTATGAGAACAGAGATTATAGGTTTTTGAAGGTGTTACCTGGAAAATATAGAGAACCATATGCAGTTTGGTGTCCTGTGATTTGGTGAGCTTTATGATCATCAGAATGATAGCTGTGAATACACAATATGTAAATCTTATTGTTAGTCCTTACTGCCTAAAACATAAAGTTCCTAGGTATACATGCACGGGCATTACTAGAATGGAAGTTGTAGGCATATTGGAGACCAGCAGTGAAGCCAGGTATAGTGGTACACACCTGTAATCCCAGAACTCAGGGGGGCTGAGACAGGAGGATTGCTTTGAATTTGGGGACAGCCTGGGCTAAACAGTGAGTTCAAGGCCAGTCTGAACTACAAAATGAGGCCCTATCTGCTCCCCAAAAATAAAATCAAGGGCCAGCAAAATAGCTCAGCAGATTAAAGTGCCTGCAAGCAGACGCAGGGGCCAGGGGTTCGATCCTGGGTCTGCTGTGCTGGCCCTACCCCCGGGGAGTGCTGAGATGGCAATTGAGACTGGGCGTGGTGGTGCGCGCCTGTAATCCCAGTTCTTGGGAGGCTGTAAACAGGCAGATCACTAGAGTCCGAATTAGTAGTGAGACCCTGAACACCCTTCCCTAAAATACAAAAAAAATTTAAAAACTAAAATAAAATAAAATCAGCAGTGAAATAAACCAGTTAGGTAAATCATTGGGCCTTTGACCTCTGATTTCTACTCCTTATGGATTAAACTTTATAGATTGTTAGTGTGATAGTGATGGCAATGTATACTATGGGAATATAATCATTTATACTTCTTAGCATTTCAGAATTTATCAATCTCTTTCATAAACATTATCCAATCTGATTTTTACAACAACCATAGTAGTAGGAAGGGCAAGTATTTATATTTAAGTCCTGTCAGGACATTTTCACTCTTATAACAAGTTGCATCTGTGCATAATTAATTTCTACATAAAAAGAAAAAGAAGTTGGGGGTTGGGCAGGAGGATCAAAATATCAGAATAAAGCTGGAAATATGGTGGGGCCAATATAAATTTCATAAGATGGACAGGTGTTTGTAGTCATCTGTCTTGGTGAGAAAACTTTGCTTGATCAAAGTCAAACAGTTCTCCTCTTCTATTAAGGTACCCACCTGGGCCCCAGCAGCATAGGAAGGCCACTGGGTAAAAGCGCACACGCTGCTCCACAATATGAATCACTGCCCACTGTTCACTTCCCAGAAAGCCAGTTGATTTCAAAAATTTCTTGTAAAATATCTGGGCTTGGATGAGTAAGACCTAAGGATGAGTGTAGCAGTGAAAAGTGTGTCTAATGCTTAGTAAAGTTTCCCATCATTTTACAAGGATCATTCTCTAAGCATCTCACAATAGAAAAGACCATTCTGTTATAGCATCCAAAACCACACCTTCTCTTTTTTTTTTTGAGAGACATAATTATTCAGATCAAATTTATACTTGCCCAAGGAAATGAACATAAACTAGTCAAACTCCAGGTTATCATGTTCAATATATGAACCTTACATCAACCCCTCAAATCAACCCCAGGCTAATTACAATTTACATAGGAAGTAAAAAGTAAATTCTAGGTGGGTATGGTGGTACACACCTGTAATTCCAGCACTTGGGAGGCTGAGGCAGGAGAATTGGCACATGTTTGAGGCTATCTGCCACTACATAGTGAGTTCATGGGCAGCCTAAAGTATACAATGAGATCCTGTCTCAAGAAACCCCCCAAAAAAGTAACTTCTATAGGTTCAGTGGCACCGTGCTTGTCTGGCAAGAGTGAGATACTAGGTTTGATTCCTGAAAATTCCTCACCCCCACAGGTAAGTTCTAATCAAATCCTCTTTTAAAGTCTTTATTAGATATTCTGTTGGGGAAAAAAAAAGATATTCTGTTGGAAAGTGTCTTTCCCTTAATACCTTTAAAATATGTTAGTATTATGTCTTAAATTATCAACAGTAAGAGGTGAATGGGAAAAAAGGAAAATTAAGGCATATTATTACAAGTACAATTTTTCTATGATGAATGTGATCATTATGTACAGCAAATATATACTAATAAAAAGTCTGATATTGCTAATAAATATATAAAAGATATACACAAATTTTCTGGTGCTATCTTCCATGGGGATCAACAAAATATTAGTTCTAGAATTAGTAAGATTTTTACATAATGAATATAAGCTCGCCTTCTCCCCAGGATTTAATTTTGTAAAGTCCAAAAACCTGAGGTAGTAATTACATTGTCATGATCACTTGGCTACCTTCTTAGTGCTATGACCATAGAAAGTCCTCTTTGCTCCACCTTTCCCAGGCCCCAGGAATAGCGGTCTCCCCCTTTAATCCCCCTTCTTCCCACAAAGGCATATAGGATGGTACCATACCATAATGGTGAAGAGGCTGAGTAAAAAGCTGGCCAGGAAAATGGTGATGCCATAAACATAAAGTGTACTGCAGATTGATATGTTGGCTGAAGGTAAGAGTTCAGCCATGGATGATGGTGGAGAGTGCATCAGGATGCACCTAGGAAGAGAATCACAAAACAAAGGACCACTACAGATATAAGACATGAGACACACAGTGCAATGCAAATTTATGAGTAATTGTACTTATAATTTTGCTATAACATTTTGTTAATTCCTACAGGCACATTATCTTATCATTTTGTGTTATATTATTATATATCTTTAACACTGACCACAGTTCTGTACTTATTTCCAATACAAGCACCTTGGCCAGAAGATATAGAGGAAGTCTTTTTCTATCTCTACTATAGAAAACAACAAGCTATGATGAAAATGATCGACTTGATCCTTCCTTACCTGTGACTTTGGCTGAAGTTACGGAAACATTCACTAGCATTGCCCAGATAGAATACAGGTATCATCAACAGTAGTGGTATCAGGCTGGGAGAAAAAAAAAATTATCTTAATATATAGAATTTATCATGCCTTTCCCCCTTTGCAGTATAGTCTCTCCTCCTCCAACTGCATTACTCCATCTCTCTCTCTCTCTCTCTCTCTCTCTCTCTCTCTCTCT